GTTTCGGTTTTTATACACTATATGTTTTTATCTCGATGCGGCGTGGACGCACTTGGAAAAAAAAGAGCGCGTCGCGTCGCACCGCGACCGCGTTGCTTCCATCATGAGCGCGCACACCGCGCGCCTACATTTGAAATCGAACTTGAGCGCGCAAAAGACGTGAGCAGTCCCTTTAACGGCTTTATCATGCTAACTCAATAGATTGTGTTTTCTTGATATGTTTTTGTTTTTATTTGTACACTTGACGCATTTGAAAATAAACCTATATGCGGTCCTACTACAGCCTATTATTATTAGGATTGTTTTTTAGGCTCTTTGGGTTTTTTTGTGTGTTTGTTTTAAAACTCCTAGATCGGCTGGACAAAAGTTAACCCATAGCTTTGAAAGTAAAGAAGAATATACAGCCTGTATAAACGAGAGCTTTTGTTAGGATTGTTCATTGTGGCAGATAGCAGTTATATTTTTTGAAGCGTGTGGTGTGGTCAGGTGCGCGTAGCCTGGCTCCGCCCTCCTACGCACTTCCGCTCAATTTTATTTTCCTTCAGTACTACGTCTGGGATTGTGCTGTAGACTTTGGTTTCCAGAAAAAAAATTTTTACCGGTCCAATCAGCGAACAGAGGGAGTGGCTGAGAACGATGACGTTGATGTAGCGCGTCAGTTTGAGTTGGAGTTCAGTAATGGCAGCGGAGAAAGACGTGAGAAAATCTATTCGGTCCGTTGTTGCAAAACTGCCGAATATCCAGAAGTTAAAGCCGGAGCAAGATCAATGTTTGCTAAGTGTTGTTGGGGGCCATGATGTTGTGGCCCTCCTCCCCACGGGGTTCGGGAAAAGTTGAATTTTCCAGCTCACTCCGCTAGTGGTGAATGAGTTAGCTAAGGCGAACGATAGGATGCAAAGCCGATAGTTGTTGTCGTCTCCTCTTGTTGCACTAATGGAGGACCAAGTGAGGGAGGCAGAAAGGTTAGGAGTTGGTGCTGGGCAGCTCGGCGTGCACGATGATCACTGTACAGCATTTGCGGCAGATCCGAAACGACCGCAGCGGCGTATTGTTAATGATTACACCCAGCTTCGACAGTTGACTGAATACATCACTGTCCTTAGTGTCAAATATACATTTAGAATTTAGAATTGTTCCTTGAACTCTTAAATTCGATGAACAAAACATGCAGCTCTCGTTGACAGACATCTTATTCTAAACATAATCCTCTGATCATTCGGACTTGTTTTTTTTTATTGCTTAAAACAATACACAAGTAATAACAGAAAACATAATACAAAAACAAACAAAAAATAATAATAAAAACCAAACAAAAATAAAACAGTAGGGGGATAATATAAAATAAACATGAACAAGTTAAGAGAATTACATGACACTGAAAAAAGGAAATTTTTTCATTGCGTCTTTTTTTTTTAGTCGACTAATCGTTGCGCAGGACAAGACTTTGGTCGACTAAGGATTTCTTTGGTTGACTACAGCCCTACAAGCTTCATAAAATGATCATTCTAGAAGAAAATTTCAAATGGCACTTAGAGGCTTTTGCATCTGAACTCTTCATATATTTTGCTAGCATATATTGAGTTTTGAAGTGCTGGAAAAAGATGTGTGAAGTACTTGAAAGCATTTCACTATTCCAGCCAAACTGGTTACATTTAGTGTTACTATATTAAATCCATGGTGAATGTTGCTGGTCTGTGGACGTAAAGTATTACTAGTTCATTCACGGCACAATATTTCTCCTGGTGTCCACGTCAGCGCTGTTTGATCTAATAGAGATCTACGGTTAATAACGGACAAATGTGAATGCTTCTCACTAGATCTCGCAGTGATGTTATTACTTCAGTTTTCTTTACTGGAATCTTAGCGCTGTGTTGTAACAGTGTCGCTTGATCGAGATCGGCTCGCGCTGCACAGATGTTGCTGGTCCGAACTGATAAACGATCCATGAAGCACAATATAATGAGTAGCGCAGTTTCGTTCCGCTTTCATTACGCTTGCCATTTGATGTTGTGGTGGTCGCGCCAGCGCAAATTTTGTCAGCAGGAAAAAATGGTCCAAGTAATCGTTCGGTTTGTATGCGTACCGAACCGGAAGCCTCGAACCGAAACGGTTCAATACGAATACATGTACCGTTACACCCCTACATTGTATACATTTCTTTCCACAGCAATAAACATGCAGTAGAAGTATTAAATAAAGTAATACACTCTTCTTCTCCTCCTCTTATGATCAGGTTACCCACCTCTCATACTTGCTTCAACGTGCTGCTCCTCCCCGAATACTCCACCATAGAGAAACTTAGAGAGAGACTCCTTAAAGCCATCACTTACGCCAAAGGCTTCGGCATGCTCTGAGGCTCCAGGATCTGCAAAAGAACTCACTCGCCCTCAGAGGTTTCATTTGTGCGTCAAAGGAGAATTCAGCTACATCGACAACTAAAAGAAAATATCAAGTTAAAATGTAAGGCAACGTGAAATGGGTTAAAATGGGGGAAGTTCTGGTGGCCGTGTGCCTGTGCCTAAATAGTTGATTAAACCACACTGGACTCTTGGCTCTCTCTCCCTCTTATGTAAGTGTTAAGGTTCCCTTTTTGTATGCACTGAGATATTGCGTTATTTATTTTAAGGGATGAAATCTCTTCTGTCATGTCTGCCAGGAAATCCACTCACTTTTTGCTTTCGTAGTCATAAAAAAGGAGGGATGGTTAGTTTTCAACACCTGCAGGACTGATCACCATCTAAACTTAATAAAACAGCAAGATCAAAGGGAGGAAGTGGAACTTTATTGATGTATTATGGTTGAACTGTGAAAGTGCACTTAATATTCAGAATGTCTCTTAGTTTTTTGTTTGTTTGTTTTTGGTCTGCCCTTTGACCTTTTTTTTTTTTGGCTCGTGTTTCAAAGGTCTTCCCTTGTCCATTCACATTTGCAGCAATGCTTTCAAAGGTACAGAGCAGCTCTAGTCTCAATTTCGTGTCAAGGAATCTGTATTTATTGAGGAAGTGCGTTGTTTGTAATGCCGCTTGAACAAGCTGTGCTGCTCTTTTATGGCCAGTGTTCTGCATTTCGCTTCTTTCGCATAGAATTGATCTGTTTGCTAAAATGAATCTACGCTCACGGTGCACTCCTGACAAAAACACGTAGTGTTAAAAGTGTCAAAAGAGAGATCCAACCTTCTCATAAAACTCTCTCAATGGTTTTCTACTAGTGTTTTGTTTTGTTTTGTTATCCATCTCGTTTTAATTCAAAATTCAGACTTTTAGTCGGTGAATGCTAATTGACAGTGCCCCGTGAAGAAACTGTTTCTGTTTTAGTTTAGCTTTTTTTTTCTTGCTCTGCACAGTGTCTGGTCCTATACTGTTGGATGAAAATGAGGGGAAATTGGCACAAATTGTACCACTGTCTTGTCGTGCCAAACATTTATCCTGAGAATTGCCGCTCCGGTTTGTACATGCATAGCTGGAAACCCACTTTAGCAATGCCCTCTACATTTTTTGTTTTTCCATTTTCCCTCTTGCATATTAAATGTGACTGTGGTTTGTTCCACTGCTGATGGCGCTAACATAAAAGGGGGAAACAGAACTTGATATTGAGAATGACAACATTTGATTGTTTCAAGTTATTCTTAAATAAATTCAAAACTGAAAAAACAAACCAAGTGTGGAAATGTGATGATGAGATTCAGCTTTTGGGTCTTTTGATGTGTTGCCGGTTTATAGTGGAAAAATACACAAATTAAATGTCTGTTTTAACATATCCAACACAATATCAAAGTCAAAATACTGCATAGTTTTTAGTAAACTAAGATTTTAGTCATTTTAGAATTTTAGGATTCAGTCACCTGGTCTTTGGCATCAGACTGATACTTAAAAAAAATCTATTTAATTTAGATCATTTAAATAAGGTAAATGTAGACATATGTCTATATATATATATATATATATAGATATAGTCACCTTGTCCTTTTCTATACCAGGTTATCTCTCCAAGTGCAGTTTCTGATCCTTAACATGACCCGTTCATGTACTAAACGCACACACTACTCTATATACCTTGTCTGTTGAGAAGTCCATCTTCTGTTTTACATTACTTTTAAATGAAATGCTTTTATCAAACAAACAACATTTGTTAGAACATTTATTCAAGAACACATTTGGGTACTTTGGTTAGTACGCTAAAACGTTATGGTTTGTGTTTGGGTTGTTTTTATCATGGTCCGTGTGGTCAAGTTGTTCTTTCTTTTCGAGCAACTCTATTAGTAATATTATTGAAATAATGTAATTGTTTAATGAGCTTTATAAGAACATCATCAAAGGAATAAATTATATATTCTCATGCTTCTGCCAAATGAACAATTAGAGTATTAATGCCTTGTCTGCAAGTGTAGCCCTGATACAGTCTGAAGTACCCTTTTTTTACTTGTTTTTGGGATGCACCATAAAAATATGCTACCATTCAAAAGTTTGGGGTCATTTTTTTAATAAATTCTTAAGAAATTAATACTTTTAATAAGCATGAAATTGACAGTAAACATGTATAATGTTACAAAAAAAAATCTATTTCAAATCAATACTTTTCTTTTGACCTTTCTATTTATCAAAGGATCCTGTAAAAAAAAAATGTCACGGTTTCCAGGAAAAATATTAAACGGCACACCTTTTTTTTTCAACATTGATCATAAGAAATGTTTCTTGAGCACCAAATCAGCATGTTTTAAATTGTAACAATACTACTGTATTTTTGAAAGTCAAAAAAAATCTGCCTGGGTGAGCATACGAGACTTCTTTGAAAAAACAAAACAAATAAATCTTGCCAACCCTAAACCTTTGAACGATAGTGTATCTCTCTCCTGTTGGCATATAAAGAAAATCCTGCATTTTCTGCCTTCTGAGTTTTTCCATACTGCATATATTTAACAAGTGTTCCATTTTAACACATGTGGCAATTAGTACAATGTTGTCATATGTAAAATGTATAAATAGATAAGTATAAACAATGTACTATGTTAAGGAATATGTACATAGAAAGGAAACCCCTTTAACCCCAATGTCTATGCTGTTGACTATTTTGTCTTCTTCTCTTCTTCTTTTTTGTCCTCAACAACCTCAGAGAGATCTTCGACTCGTAGTGTTTTCACTTTGCTCTCCATGTTGGTTATCCTCTGTTTGATCTTTCCCTGGTAGGACGTGTACTCTGCCATGAGCTTGGCAAATTTGCCAGTCATGATTTCAAGGTTGCCCTCTAGGCGGTGAATCTTCTCGTCCAGATCTTTGGGATCTGCACCTGCGCTTGCCACCGCCTCATCAAGAAGGTTGTCTTTTCTTAAAATAGCCTTTCCTTTCTCCTCCAGGGCTTTTTTGGCATCTGGGTACTCTGTAAGCGCTTCCACGAGATCATCTTTAGACAGGGCGAAGAGGTCAGAATATCCGACACTACGGATGTTTGCCGTTCTTCTGTTACCGGCTTTACTGCCTTTGATTCCAAGGATACTGATTTCTCCAAAGTAAGCGCCGTCACTGAGCACCACAAACTGCGTGACCCCATCATCGGCCACTACGGCAAGCTTTCCTTCTTTGATGATGTACATTTCTCGGCCGATGTCGCCCTTCTTACATATGTAATCTCCAGGACTGAACACCTGAGGTTGCAGCTTCAACACCAACTCTATAAGAAGTCCCGCTTCACAATCCTGGAAGATTCGCACCTTCTTTAGCGTGTCTAAATGGACATTGATGGCTATCTCAGCTTTGAGCTTGTCTGGGAGATTCTTTAAGACTTCCTTCTCATCACACGTTTTCTTCTCCGTCCAAAGGTAGTCAAACCATTTGATGACCCTGGCCTCCAGGTCCTTGCTGACCTTACGGAACTGCATGTACTGCTTGATGGAGTCGATCTTAGCCTGAAATTCAGCACGAGAAGCGTTCATGTTGGAGATCATGGCGCCGACGTTACCGACGATGGTAGCGAAAATCAACACTCCAATGAGGAAGTCCATAACGACAAACAAGTATTCAATATCTCTAACGGGAGGTGGCGTTTCTCCAATGGTGGTGAGAGTGAGAGTGGACCAGTACAGACAGTAGATGTATTTTCTGGCCAAGCGCCCGTATTCAGGGTGACTGATGTTAGGATATACCCATGTGTCAGTTCCAAAACCAATCGTTTTTGAAATGGCAAAGAAAATGCAAGCGTTCCAGTGAATAATAATCAGGATGTAAAGTACGAGGTTGCTAATACGGAAAATGTTTGGAAAGTTTGTTCGTGTTTCTGTGCGGTCAAAGAACTCGAAGAGACGTGCCATTTTGAAGAGGCGGTTGAAGCGAAGTTCAGGATTGTTGAATCCCACTTTCAGCATTAACAAATCTGTCGGGATCATTGAGATGATGTCGTATTTAAACTGTGGGATTGTCTTGTAATGATCCATCAACTTCTTGCCGTCTTTGACAAGAAGACCCTGTTCCAGGAACCCTGAAAAAATTACAATAAAAATGTTAAAAATAAAAAGAATAAAAATGTAACAAACTTTGTGTACACGATCTAGTTGCAATGCTTGTTAATATCAAATATACACATTAATCCAAAAGTTGGTAAGGTTTTTAAGATTGGTAAGATTTCATAATGTTTTTGAAAGTCTCTTATGCTAACTATTATTGGTTTACAAATACAGTAGAACAGTAATATTGTCAAATTGTTTGTTCGGTACATTTAACTGGATTCTTTGATAAATCAGCTGCAATTTTGGTGCAGGCTTTGCAAACAGACTTTTCCTGTAAGATATGGACCTTGACAGTAATGCCACAATATGTAAGTAACCGTGTTAAATTCTAATGCTTAATCTGTGATCAGTGATTTCTGATATGTAATGATTCATGTACAGTCAGACGTTCTTTGTCTCAAAATCATTTCACTGCCGTTTATGCTTCAGTAAATAAAGCCAGTGACTAAATGGTCAACTTCACACTGTTTCTCTTAGTATGAAAATGATCTGTTATTTAATTTGTGAATAAATTAGATACAGAAAGCGATGGACGAACCTTTACAATCGCTGGAGCTGTCAGTCACACAGCTTGAGTTTATCAGTGACTGAGTTCTGGACTCTTGCCAAAACTCCCCGTTATAATCAATGATGCCGTCTACACTGCACATTGGATCTCTTATTTACATCGTGTTTACACTGTTAGTTATGATGAAAACATTCATGCAGGTGCAGAAATCACTGAGATCACTGCATCCATGCACTCAACAGACATGTCTGTCATCAGCTACAGTAGATCTAAATATAATGCTTTAATCAACACTTTTCATGATTAGTTCATCTCAACAGCAGTAATAGTAAAAACATAGTATAAGATTTTGAGAGAGCTCCACATGTAATGCTTATTTCATATGCAAAGATTTTAGCCAATCATAGCAGTGAGTGTTTACATTGAAGTCTCACAGCAGACACGCCCCTTCCAACAGAGCGTTCAAATCATTTTATTTCTAAATTATAATAATTTTTCCATTTCAAAATCATACTAACATAATAAGCGCACCTCATAAAGAATATAAAAAAATATTTAATATTTTTTAGGATTCTTTCAAAAGAACAGCATTTATCAGATTTTTTCTGTAATAATGTAAAAGCCTTGTCACTTTAGATCAATTTAACGTGTCCTTGCTAAATAACAGTATTATTTTCTATCATAAATAAACTAACTGACCCCAAACTATTGAATGGTAGTGTGTTTTAATATTTAATATTAATCCTATTTCATAGATATTCCATCAATATTATTCTTTCAATGAGTAACCAACACCATACCTGTTCTTGCTCTGACAAATGTGTCTATGTAGTAGATTACATCTGCCGTATAGTCCAGGATGATCCAAAGCATTGTGAAAGAGTTCTGAAGCTCATTAAAACAGGCCCTGAAGAAATATCAAAAATGAAGCATAAGCCACATCTCGCCGCACATCTAAATGCATCGATGTCATGAGAGATCCTGCATGAACAGACCTTGTCACCAGCATCATCAGGTTGTAAAACACTGGGCCTGCAATGACTGAAAGCCATCTGTAATACTTGTCTGAGGCTGGGTCCATGATCCACACGTCTTTCCTAAAACACATTTTAGATTATGGTCTGGCCACTTTCAAAGAACAAACACGTATACTAAATCACAGCATTCATCTTAAGATATTACTGTTAGACGAGACTCTGTCAATATCGGTCACTAAAACTAAAATGTCATTTGTGGCATACTCACAGCGGAGGAGCATCTTTCTTTTTATCATCTTTCTTATCATCCTTCTTTTCGTCTTTTTTCTCATCCTTTTTTTCATCTTTTTTCTCATCCTTTTTGTCATCTTTTTTCTCTTCCTTTTTTTCATCTTTTTTCTCTTCCTTCTCATCTCTTTTCTCTTCCTTTTTGTCTCCATCCTTTTTCTCATCTTTTTTTATTTCCTCCTTTTTGTCCTCCTTTTTGCTGAAGGTAACATTTTGGGTTGTTTTTATTTGAATTAGCAACTAGTCCGAAATCTACGGGTCACTACTGTGAACTACCACTAGTAATCTCTCATCTTAACCTGCAGAGGGCAGCATTACCATTAACACTGGGAAGGCAATGTACTAACTTCATACAAAACATGACAGACTATCATCTGTTGTTTTAATTGCATATTTGAGATACAACACTATTAGCATTCATTCATTATTAAGGATTCTACAATATAAAATATTTGAGTTAATATAATGTATTAAATGGGGCTTTATATCTTGTGGAGCTGTTTCTACAGGTACTTACTCATCTGTGTTGTTGCAGTTGTTCATATTGTAAACTGCCAGAGGCCAATGACTGGATTTTCTTAAGGAGCAAAAGTCATTCATTTTGGTGTTATTATTGTGGATTTAATTCTGAGGGATCTGATTCTAGGACAACTATAGACCATCACCAGGCACGTGCACACATAGACATCAAAAGGGGCTTGAGCACCTGCCCTTTTTATTCCTGGAGAGAAAGCAGGGACGTGCACAGGAATTTTGAGGGGGCAGTTGCTCTGACCTGAAAAAAGGGCGGGCACCCCCCGAAAAAAAGAGTTCCTCATATTATTGTTTATTGTTTTTTATTTGAAAATAAATAATCTGGATTGAATGGAAAAACTCGCTTGTAAAAAAAAATAATAAAAAAAAACGCTTAGATTTTGGGGAAAAATACTATCCTTTTTTAACCTTTTGACTTCCCGTACATTCAGTTGTGCTTCTTGCTCGTATTCAGTCGTGATGGTAGGCTACGGGCAACTACGCATGATTTGTAGTATGATTGCGTAAAGGGAGCAGGAATTCCGGTAGGGAACAGAATCGACTGCTAAACCCAGTGCCGATCCTGACCTCCCCCTGGGGCCCTAAGCAAAATTCTGCTAATGGGCCTCTACCTGACCCGTGATGTCGTGTCGAGCTATGTAAACCATTTGCCATTGCCACACAAACACACCTGACACTTCAGTGCTCCCATACAATCCTCCCTCCTTTAAACAAAACAGTCAAAGAATAAGTACAACAATATAGAACAGAATGAGGTTCAAACAAACAATATTTATTGAATAGAGTATTTTCTATAGAATGTTAAGATAACAAGTGAATATTAACGTAAACATAAATAAGAAGAAAATAATAAATTATAACCCTGAGCTTTGGCTTTTGGGATTAACTTTGGTTCTCTCTACAGCCTGGGTATTTTCGGCATTAGTATGATTGTTTTATTTATTATTATGCATGTTGAAGCAATTCTTGATTTATGGTTATTATTTACTGAGGGATGTGCATCCATATTGACCAGTATGTCCAGCTAATCAACATTTTAAATTCAATATAGCCTATAAATCAATAGTCAATCAATGTCAAATTGTCAATACATTGCTTTCTATCTTGCATAATTAGTGCAGTTGTTTAGAGTTTTTAACACTGAGACTAGATAATCAGTGTCTTGTTTTAAACGTATAATGTGTACTTTGATTGGGAGTACCATCATTCACGTGCATGTATTGTACAGTATGTCTGGTCTCCACATATTTCTGCTTGAAAAATGCACGTTTCATTTCGTGCACGCGCATATGAACGCACGATAACACACGCGACGCGGTAATGTTTTCTGAGCTGCAGTAAACAAACACCGTTGCACTTTGTCGTTTATCAAAAACAAACGTAATAAATAATTGTATTTTACTCTCACTTTTGTCAGGCACAAAGTGATGCAAGAGATGCACGGCCTGCCCAGCTAGGTTAGCAAGACCGAAAAACATCAAACTTTGCTGACATCAAACTTAGAGAGGAGAGAACACCGCAATTCACTCTCATGGTTTTTTTCTTCTTCCTCTTTTCGTGACCAGAAGGATAGTTTCGCTTCATTTTGTCATGGATGTTGTACACATTAATTGACGCGCTTTGACACGAGATGGAGGCGGGGTCTTACGCACCGGTCGCGTGCAGTCTATGGTCGCGTGTAGAGCTGCAGCCACGTAAACAGTTGAGCTGAGTGCCCGAATGGAAGTGAATAAGGCTTTGCGAATTTTGTTTTATTTTTTATTTTTATCTAGGCCTACGTGAAATTCTGCATCCATTGTACGATTTTTTTTCTTTTTTTCGGAAGGGCAACCTGAGTCGAGAAGGGCATATGGGCAGTTCCCCGGGCAACCTGAGCAACCCCCCTGTGCACGTCCCTGAGAGAAAGTGCCCTTTTTTCTGGGGTGCTTTTTTTTTTTTTTTTGCAGCTTCCCTGTCAAACAAATATATTTACTGAATAGTGTATCTAAATATCAGGTCAGGAGTTCTGAAGCGCCCATCAGAGTAAACGCGTCTGCTCTAGTGAGCTCACGCTGCGCTGCCATACAGAGCCTAAGTCCCGCCCCTCCGCTTCCGGCTCATGGGACCTTATTTCGGAAAAAATATGTATGGTAGTCAATAGCGAGAGACAACTTATCTTTTTATTCCGTCTGAACTGTGCCCTGAATTACACATATGATGTTTGTCAATTTAAAAGATAATTATGAAAGTCAAGAAAGTCGCAGTTTGTCATAAAACAGAAGAGTAACATTTAGTTTTATGTGGAAATCGCTCAATGAACTACATCTCCCGGGAAGCGAAACAACGAGCAAGATCCGTTGCTCGTATGTGTGCAGTCTGGTACAAAACACTCAGGCATGACGGCGTAACGTTACGATTATAACGGTCAAACAGTCTCAGTAAATCTTAAGTAAAGTTAGCTTCATTCATTGAGAGAAAATGTGCGCCTTTGGGGTTTGTAGTCTTTGTAATTACGTATTTTCAGTCTTATACCTCAACAGTTTTACATCAAACTGTGACTTTCTTGACTTTAAAATGTATCTTTTAAATTGACAAACATCATCTGTGTAATTCAGGGCACAATTCAAACGAGATCAAAATATTTGTTGTCTCTCGCCATTGACTACCATGCAATATTTTTCCGAAATAAGGTCCCATGGTGGTCGACCGGAAGGGGAGGGACTTAGGCTGCGCTGCCGGTTGGACTCTGAGCCGAGCGGATAAAACAGTCCGTGAGGCGCGTGCGGTTCAAATGAGTTTCGTTCCGCTTTTGGCACATAAACATTATCGAACATTTATCGAACTCGATATTGATATCGAGTATTGACTCGATGTTGACTCGAACTTGATATCGTTTTATCGAGAAAAATTATATCGCGATAATGAATATCAATTTAAGACGTGGCTAAATGTAATTTATATCCTTGTATGGAAAATCCGGACGTTTTTATGACTTTTTATGGCCTAAAATTCTTATTATTAAAGTTAATGACTTACATACATCAAGAGTCTTTCCCCCTGAAATGTAGAAATCTAAATTGGTGAATTCAGAAGAAATCTACAGATGCAAACAGATGGAGGATAGTAGGTTTAAAACAAACTCCATCTAAATGTGGATTTTGAAGGTTTTATTTGATGATAATGATACAGTCCTCCCTCAAATGTGAAACTAAGTCCATGTCACCATCAGGTGTATCAAATATATACTTGATTGAAACTAGTAGCATAGAAAACATGCACATTGTGGCATGGTTTCCTTTGCTACCCTATAAACCCGAATACTAAGGAGACCATGGTTTCTGTGTGAACTGATTATTTTGTAAACATTTTTTGAAAATGAAACAATTGCGCGAGTTTGAGGAAGATACAATTAATTAACTTTTTTAATAAATTTTTTTAAAAAGTCAGAGTTGTGTAAATATACTTTTTTGTTTAAAAAAGTTTTTAAAAAAAAACGTAATTATGAGAAGTGCCCTTTTTTTCACTTGAGCCCCTCAAAATGTCTGTGCACGTCCCTGACCATCACTACTCCTGATTTAGTATCTATATCTACGGTCAACGTTTGTTTCTATTCTACCATTTATTCCAATACTGTTTTACCTAAAGGACATTTCTACATAGAAATCTACATACTGTTTTCATTTTATAACCTCTGGTCTAACAAGTAATGAATCCTCAGCTCTGTGATCTGTTTTATGAAACATCTGCACACAATACGGATGTTTTTCCACACATATCCAGCATGATTCTCTGCACGTGTCTTTCATTTTCAAGGACTCCACGTTATACCAAAGGCATCTTTGTCTGTACAAAGAAACTGTACAGAAAATCTTGACTTACTTCCTCTTATGAGGCTTGTCGGGAAGGCCTATAGAGGATCGGGCATTACTTCCTCGGCTAGATAAGTCTTTGAGGTCAGGTCCACGGAATCGCTCCAAGAAGGAGTCGGGACGCTCAACCTCTCTGTGAAGCCTGTGTGAAGCCCAGTTCCTCAGCATTACCAGAAATTGGGTTAGCCTGGGAGACCGTAAGATGTCAAACAGAAACACTTCCAAGCTCTTTATACAGTATGTAGCTTTCTGTTCCACCCATTTCAAATGCACACTTAACACGTTCAAATTTTGTTGGCTTGGTTGATGAGAGGTTCACTTCTTTCCATTTTAAAATCAGATTTCACTACTACAGATCTACTGCTCAGTGTGCATTTGACTTGGTTTAGTGGTAATCAGGGTTCACATGGTGAACTAGGTTCAAGCTTTAGTTGGGATGTTACCTTGCCATAGCCCCAGCACCTGTGAAAGAGCTTCTCCTGGACTCCTGTAGCTGGCTGGTTCCAGTAGAAATGATCCCCTGCATATCAGAGGAGGTGTCCTCACATAGAGAATGTGCCCTGAGAAAAGGTGTGGGGGGATTTATGTTTCAGAACTCAAATAAAGTTCCAAAATGGAAACTATTGAAACTAAGCAGCAAGATATAGCAAAACACCAGAACTAGTTAGAATAAAATGTGAGAAAGTTATCCAAACTTTGGGCTTTTTCTGATTGAACAGAAATAAAACTAAGTGTAGCACAAAGGTTTGGGGTCTGTAAGATTTTTTATGTTTTTGAAAGAAGTCTTCTATGCTCAACAAGGCTGCATTTTTTACAGCAGAAACAGTAGGCTACTATTGTGAAATATTACTTCAATTTAAAATAGCTGTTTTATATTTGAATATACTTTAAAATATAATTTATTCCTGTGATGCAAATCTGAATTGCTCAACAAGCATCATTACTCATTACATCATCATCATTACTCATTACATACATCATTACATCATCATTATTCAGCATCATTACTCCAGTCTTCAGTGTCACATGATCCTTCAAACATCATTCTAATATCCTGATTTGCTGCTCAAGAAACTCATTTCTTATCAATGTTGAAAACAGTTGTGCTGATTAATGTTTTTGGGGAAACCATGATAATATTTTTTCTTTGAAGATAATAATTCATTAATAATAACAGCATTTATTTGAAATAGAAATCTTCTGTAACATTATAAATGTCTTTACTGTCACTTTTGATCAATTTAATGCATCCTTGCTGAATAAAAGCATTAATTTCTTTAAAAAAATAAAATCTTACTGACCCCAAACTTTTGAATGGTATTGTATCTTCCTGAAGAATCCAAATGTTCCGTTCGAGCGACTTTTTAGAGTTTATTAATAACAAGATGCCTGATCATTTCTGTCTAATTCAATCTGTTTTCAGCATATATTGTTTTGTGAACTTTTCAAAAAAGATTTTCAAAAAAAGCTGTTATTAAAGGATGGAGTCCAAACTACATTTGACCTAACGACAAACCCGCATCCTTCGGTTAAGAGCTTCATGTTTCATATGCGAAGAGGTCATTACTTAAAAAAAATGAGTTTACAAAAACAGTCTGTGAAAACCAAAATTAAAGTCGGAAAATTCACTCAATCCATTTCACTGTCCATTTAAAACTCTTTGTGGCGCAAAAACATTTACACTGTAAATGATGCACAAAAAGGATTAAAATGTACTATATGACCTTTTTAAAGGGATAGTTCACCCCAAAATGACAATTCTGTCATCAATTACCCTCATGTCATTCCAAACCAAAACATCCCCTCATTCATCTTTGGAACCAAAAATGTAAATATTTTTGATGCAATCTGAGGGCTTTCTGTTCCTCCTTTGACAGCCTACGCAACTACCACTTCCAGGCCCCAGAACGGTAGTAAAGACATCTTTAAAGTAATCCATGTGACTCCAGTGGTTTAACCTCAATTTTATGAAGCGATGCGAGTGCTTTTTTTGCGCATAATTTACCACTATATTTACAAAATATTCATCTCAAACGCACGTTCACGAGAGCATCACGACGCATGCGTGTTGTGTTGACGAGAGCAGACGTTAATAGGAGAATGTGTGTTGGAGATTAATATTTTGTAAATAAAGTGGTAAATTGTGTTGTTGGGGGGGTTTTGCACACACAAAGCACTTGCGTCGATTCATAAAATTGAGGTTAAACCACTGGAGTCACATGGATTACTTTAAAGATGTATTTACTACCTTTCTGGGTCCTGAAAGTGGTAGTTGCGTAGGCTGTCAATGGAGGGACAGAAAGCTCTCAGATTGCATCAAAAAGATCATTAAGTCTTACGGTTTTGGAATGACATGAGAGTGAGTAATTAATGACAGAATTAAATTTTTTGGCTGAACAAACCCTTTAAGGTCATGTCTTGTTATTCTAACCTGCTTATGCCATTTTCAGTCTGATCCAGGTCATCTTTAGAGGCTCGGGCCGAGAGCTTGTGTCCGGATGGGAACGATTGCTCTGTGCAAATCTTCGCCATTTTTTTCTTTGCCTATTCTAGGCATCCAGTGCTTGATAATAAGGACAAACAAAGGACAACACCATAACAAAAAAAAGCATGAATTATTAAACATTTAAAGCATGTTTTTGATCTTAGAAAACAAATTATGCTCAAAAGCATAATGCAATAAGGCTTTCAATGGGCTGTCATTAATGGAAATCATTGCAGATAGTAATGTCGTATCGGGTCAACCCAAAATCTGAAGAGATTACAAGAACCTGTTATTGACTTGATCTCTGCAAACCCCTTTTTACTCTGACAGCAATGCCATCTAAACACACATCACCTAAAAATACTTACTGCTTAAACACTAAACAAGATCAGTGGCCCATCTCTATGCTAGATCATGACCCAGATGTACTTTAAAGCCACTTGATATTAAGCCAACATGTATATAGATGTTTTAGAAAGTGTGACTGCATATACCAAAATAAATAATAGATTTTTGGCTAAACTGAGTGATACATTTATTTAAAAACAGCATCTTTTTCATATGCAACAAAAATGACTGTAAATTTCCTAAATTGTTTTTTCACCAAAATATTGCTTTGTGGTTTCAGGATCTTTGACCAAAAGAATGATGCTGGGCTTTCTCCTCCTATTGACGTTTAGTTTATTGTATCGTTGTGGGAAGATTAGTCTAATTAGACTAACACCACCAATGCTATTCGTGTAATCTATTCCAAATCCAGAATGATGCTAATGCGTAGGACACGCAGCAACTTCTTGTCAGCAGTCCTGATTTCCATCCACCAGGGTTCTTGTCATCTGAGCATCTGAAGTCCCCGCTCCCACCCTAAACAATACATCAAAACTTTGACAAGCCCAGGGTGGTCTTTCTTTCCATTCGTTGTACTGCCATCATACATTTAAAAGGGAAAACCAGCTCTCTTGATTCTTTTGCTCTCTTGATTCTTTTGTCAGAGTACATTAAACAGAGTAAACACATTATTATTATTAATGTATTTCTTGTTAAATTTACAGTAGCCTACCAAAATTTGAGGTTGCTAGAATTTCATTGTAAAATTACATTGATGATCATTACAAGCATTATGGGGTGACTGTATAATTACAGTTCCTAACTTTGTATGTTAGTATATTAGCTGTATAATGTTAGAATATTATGTATTTTATATAAAGTAATAATTTATGTTATATGTAAATTATAAGATAATTCAGTATTTTCCTTCTACAAAAACGTTTTCATATATTACAGTAGAATTACATAGGATATCATTTTACCTTATGGTAAAGGTGGCTGTTTTTACAGTATAGGTAACATTGACATTGTAATGTAATACGTCTATATTGCCAATGATTCTTTAAACCAAAAAACAAGTGAAAACCTGGACTGGGTTATTGTCACTAAACGGTTTAGTTGAAAAGCTGCACACTCCTGCACGTGCGCCAAAACGCTCTTAAAGGGAATCCTATTAAATCATTTCCATTTGTTGCTAGCCTTATTGATACATCATATGGAATATTTTAGTGACTTGTCGAGTTATTTATCGACTCGTCAACAAATGCTGTCGGAAACACTAACGAACCACAAAGACAAGAAAGTATGGGACATTTACAACACTTTCAAAGCCAATTTTTAACATTTACACCAGTCTAGTAAAAGTAATCGATTAACCTTACCTGTGAAACAACAATATTTAGCAGTCCAACAGATTTATGGTAACAGATTCAGCCAGAAATCCTGTTCAAGTTGCTCTTTGGTTGAAGCAGTTGGTGATCCTGCTTAATGTTATATAAAATCCCATTTTTAAAGAACTAATTCGAGTGTGCATTTTTGGACATCAGTTTTAAACCACTTTTTCTAATGTGTGTCTCCTAAATGTCCACATTTTGAATAGACTGCTAAAGGATGCGCTCAGGAGTCTTGAGTCTTCAGCTCTCCGATGACCGTTCGGATGTCGTGGGCGGAGAGTAGAGCTCTTCTTCTAATTAATATTCATTAGCAATGCTTTTTTTTCTTTCTTTTTTTTTTATAACAAACTGAAACGTAACGTTAATGTTTGTAATTCTTCTGTTCTTTTTTTCTTGACTTCTTTCCCTTTTTTATGATTTATTTTTTCAGAAAATATTAAAATGTGTTGCTTTTTTATCTTAATTTATTTATGTTTGTATAATTGCATTGTCAGAAAAAAAAAACACATTTTTCTATGCTGCCAGGCAGTGTTTTTGTCCTGATGAACCAGCACTTTGAGAGATTAGTGATCGACTGAAAAAAGTGGCAGGCATTTGTGGCACTATACCGATATCACCAGCTCTGCCATCAACATGGTCATCCCAGCCATGCTAATGAGACCTGAGAAATCCTTAAGGCAATCTGCGGAGCTGTACTGTTAATCCCAGATTAGGCCTGAGTGCCTATCTGAGCCACCTAATACTCTTTCTTGGCCTCAACCCTTGAAATACTATGTGAGCATCAGTTAAACTGAGCTGACCTTACAGCACATGAGAGTGAGTGAGTGAGTTAAATGAATATAATATATTGAAATATTTGTAAAGACACAACTTTTAATAGCATGTCACCTGCCAATAAAAAAATGATTAAATTCCCCTAATAAGGACTAAGCCGCCCTTTAACATCTGCCATCTGTCACAGATCTCAGGGCAAGATACAATATCTGAATTCCAGCTAAAGGTTCATCTTACCTTTTTAACAAATACCCTATTGTAATTATACTTTTTTGATGGCTAAGATAGGCTTATGTGATTGTGAGCCTCACATGTTTACAAGTTTGCTTTGCCTGGTTTGCACTAGCTTGATTAAAAATGACACTAAAGACACATATATTTTGGTATATCAGAAGCAGCACTATAGAGCCTTGTAATTCGTAATATCTGAATTATAAAGCATAGAATGGATATCAATCTTTGTTCTAACCCTTTACAGTCTATGGTTCTAACCTGATGGAAATAGGAAGATATTTTTTAGCTCTGAATGATTGTGTTCTTATTTCCCTTTTATTTATTCATTCATTCATTCATTCATTCATTATTTATATTTTTAATGCAGACCATGAAACATTAATCGTTCAAACAAGTAAACGGTACTACACTTTATTTTTACTCTTCCCTCAGTGGGAAGCCATATACACTCTCAGAAAAAAAGGTACAAAAGCCGTCCCTGTGGTGGTATCCTTTCAAAAGGTTCTAATATGTACCATTTAGGTACTCAAATGTGCACTTTTGGTAACAATATGTACCTTTGGGGTACTAATATGCATTCTTTATGCTAAGATGCAATCTTTTGAAAGGGTACCGCCCCAGTGACAGCTTTTGAACCTTTTTTCTGAGTGTAGATAAGAATAATATGCACAGAATTTGATCAGAAACAAGTCCATTTTCAGCCAAATGTTTCTCTTACATTCCACCAATCTGATTTACTGCAGTGCTGCCCTTATCAGCAGTCCTCTTTCATCTCAGAGGAAGCTAAGTGTCTTCAGCTCAGCCACTGCGAAGCTTTTCGTATCACGAGGACACCGAGTGACAGAGGCAGCACGTCACTGCTGCAGCCTTTAGGGAAAAAGCTATGATGTAGTACATCGTAACAAATATTTTTCTATTGTAGACTGATGATGTTGCAGAGTATGGGCTAATCCAGATTTGCTTTTCACACAGGTTCCATAATTAGCTGGCTAATTGTCTAGGTTTTCTCTCTAAATAGACCCATACTGGAGTCATTTCTGGTGATGCTTAATGCAGCCACATCTGACTAGCATACTTGTTATTGTAATGTGTTATGCTAATGTGGCCTCAATTTTCACTCAGATTAAGCGCCTATTCCAATCAGTGTTGGGACATACTGATTAACTCTTGTGTGTAACTGATCTAAAATGCACCTTATGTCTATTGATTATACTGTGGATTGAATGAACAGATACTCATTGGTCATTTTAAAAAAATATTACTGAATGAAAATTAAGGTAATAATTGAGTATTCAGTTATGATAATAAAACTATCACAGAGTCTCACAGTGTTTGTTTGGAATCACGTACAGAAACATTCAGATCAATTAAAAGCCTCTTAGCTCAAGCAGCCAGAAGGTAAAGTTAATCACTATCTCTAAACACAGACGCCTCTACTGTCTGCCTACTGTGTCTCTCTCTCTTGCTCACTCGTTTTCACTCACTCTATAATAGTTTCAAGAATGCGTTCGCCCTAAATTGAAACTTTTTGTCAGTGTGCTCCATCCATGTTGTTTCGCCCAAAAGCATTACTCCATGACTCCAATTCACCCACATGCCTGTTTTTTAAAACCTCATGTGAACTGAACCTGTGTAGAAAGTTTGATAATGCATTTGTGGAAACAATGCCTTTGATTTTCCATGGAATATTTCAGGGAAAGAACTGTGAGGCAGAAGTGAGCAGAATGCTATTGTGTTTGCAGAAGGTTTTTGGAAACCCTACATTTCTCATGAAGAGGGAAAAAATGCTTCTTTTATCATCACTGCAGCTGTCGCTCACTTAAAGGTGAACTATGCAGGTTTTTTACCTCAACCGAACAGCTTCGGAGTCATTGGAATGGTTATATTACTCTTTTCGGGTTGAATGGTGGTCGTTTCGCACCCCCCTATCGCATGTGAGCGGAAAAAACACACTTGCAACTTTGAGCCGGCGGGCCGCCGGCCGCAGCATCAGGAAGTGCCGCGTGATATCAGGTCTCGCGATGTAGCGAATTGCTTTACGGCAAAAAATATCTGATAAAATTCTGATAAAATAAGCATCAAACAGAAATAACCCGGCGCCGTATACATGTGGTGTTCGAGGCGCACATACAATACAGACTGCCGACAGTTAAACAGGGTGCGCAGCTCTTAAAGGGGCCACACCTTATTTCAACTCGTTACAGCTTCCATCCTACTGAACAGGTACCATGTACAGGGGGAGGGGATCAAGGCCGTGAGTGCAGAGACATCTCTGCATGAGTGCTATTTACGACAGTACAAGTACTCCACAGCGACTCTAGGGGTCGCTATTTGACAAAAACGGAATTCCTGCATAGTGCACCTTTAAGGTCAGCAGGAGGTCACTGACTGACCCGATATACGTATTCATTTGATTTGCTCTCTTTTGATAAAAAAAAATATAACAATTAAACAGCTGCGCAGTGGATCTGTTTAATACCATATATACATTTCGGAATACTGTAAAACACATGCTTATAGAAAGTCAGTCTCCTGTAGTCACAAAGTACATGGATATAAATTGTTCTTGCTTGTAGGAGTTGTATGTTTAGTCCCATAAAACAACCAATATGTAATGTTTGTATCTGTCCCAAGGCATCCAGCGTAAAAAACCTGTGCCAAATCAAATGTGTGTAAAGCGGACCCTGCAAATGAGCAGGAATAACGCTAGGACTGTGTACTGTGACACACACACACACACACACACACACACACACACATGTAGGGCTAATGGTATTCCTGGATGCCTTGACTCAAATGTTTTGACTCAATTAACATATAGGCTACCCTACAACAAAGGTTTTCAACACTCAGGGTGCCACCATTACGTGATACCTGCTTGGGTGAATTTCACCCCCAACAATCAAAGGAAAATACAATCAGCAACAGTCCCCCCCCCCCAGCTGAATGGAAGGAGCCCAGATTTTTGTTGACACATGGAGTCTCTGTCAATCATGAGTGACAAGGGGTGCCTAAATCTACCAAAAGATGGTCATAAAATCAAACAAGGCTCCAAACTTCCTAGACATACAGGAGCCTGTCAGCTACCACCGTAAATCAGAAACACTGTTTTCTTGATACAAGAACACTACGACAGTCATGACTGACACATGTCAGTCATGACTGTCGTAGTGTTCTTGTATCAAGAACACTTGTATCACAACTCTGTACCAACATAGGGCCATAAATCATGTCATAAAACACCTTTTTTGACACATGGTTTATGTTAATACTACTAACCTGTTAAATGATCCTCCAGTTTCTAACTTAGAACACAGCTCTCTATTGTTATAGACGTGCACATCATTTTCCAATTAACATCTATATTCTAGTTAAACCTTTATTATTCCCAAAATGTATTATTCTTTATTTATTGGCAAAAAGATTAGAATATTGAATGTTGTTTGGTGGTGGAAATTATTGAGTTGCTCACAGTTTCCATTTATTTCAAATAATTAATACTAATTTATGTGTGTGGACATACACATATTTAATTTTATTCTTTTTTATTACAGTGAATATTTTTCTTCAGATTTCTTGAAAATGTTATATTGGCTTACATTCGCATAAACTTTCCTTACATTAGACATGTATATCACCAAATTCTAATATCAGCATGTATACAATATGTTATTAAAATCCTTATGAGACTTAAAGTGTGCCCAATATATTACTGATAATTAAAATAGTTAAACTTAATTATGCATGGTTATTTATCTCTGAATCTTTCTTTGAATTAGGAGATCAGTTTTTGTTTCAGTGCATGGGACATCTGTGGGTTTCAGAGTTTCCATGTAAGCATCAGACCATGTGACAGATTTCCCTCTTTTGACAGACGTGCTGATTATGACAATAGTGTTCTTAGGGTGATGAGAGGTTGCTATGGCAACCATAATGCTTGTACACTCATTTGCCTCAACCTTCCCACAGCATGCAGCAAACATGAACCCATCACAGGAATTCATTTTAGCCAGGCTGATTAGAAGGCTTTGAAAATATATTGAATTTCTAAACACGATTAATATTTCAATTAAAATGAGATTTGGGAGACCTTAGCATGAACGGATTGTAACTTATAAGATGAAACGAATCTCATACCTTGTGTGCTTGTCTAATAAATATAGCATTGAAATATGGCATTATAGCAACAAAAAAAACACTGTCTACTTTTTGTATTTGCACTCAAACTACACAATATAATTAGACCCCAAAGGAGTAAAACAATGACA